AGTTTTAATTTTTTTTGTTTTTTTTCGGCCAACCGAAGCCCTTTAAGCATTTTTCTCGTAGAGATCGATGCAGAATCGGCCGAAAACGATCAAAAACAACCGACCCAAGGCAGACCGCCACCGTGGGCGGCAGCACTGTTGCCGTGCCGAAATTCTAAAATTGGCCAAGTGAGCCCTATGACTGATTTTGGATTTATTTGGGACATTTGTAGGTACTATTAGCGCGTTTTAATTCTCGAAAAAAAATTCATGGAACCCGAGAATCACCTGTAGCCGCAGTCAAACAATTTAGCTTATCGGACATCAATTCGAGTAAGGATCCCTCACCCTATTCACTATCATAGAATTAAAGTCTAAATAAATAATAATACAATATTTGTGTGAATTTAGAAAATGTGCATAATTAATTATGGGTTGCTAATGGAGTCAGAACCGAAAATTCTCTACTGTTTCTTTGTTGATTGTTTTACAGTTCAAATGCATGATAGTACCTTATTGATTGATTTTATGGCTTTGAATGCATGTATGGTTTTATTCTATGTGTTTATTGCTAAATCAGAAAAAAAAAAAAATAAAAGTTAAACGGTAAAAATTATATGATGAAATGAATAGATGAAACGACAGTCTTACTAGATATCCTAGGAGATGGTGGATGGACCGGGTACATAGGGAACCCTACCGTGAACGTCGTTTCATACTGGACAGAGTATGGAAACTTAATAATTTGGCACTCATATCAGACGGGGTATGGGAACGGCCTGCTTCACCCTCATACCGGATAGGATATTGAGTTTGGTAAATTGGCACTCATACTAGACGGGGTATGAGGACGGCCCATAATTGAAAATGTTAAATAAAAAGGTTCACGTGTAGCGGGGACATCCCTATGAACCCCCATGGATACCCGCAGGCTGGTAAAAAGAGTTACAGTTATTGTTTGATTTATTGATGATGGATATAGATTCATAAAAAGTGCTATGATTGCTGATTATACATGGAATTATGATCTATATAATATTATTGTCTGTATAGATTGTTTTTATAAATCTCACTACGGTAAGTAAATGGTAAATGATTTTTATGATTAATAAATGAATTTACTAAATTTAGTGCTTTATTAGTATTTTTGATCTTCTACCAACCTTTATTTTCTGTGTTGGTGATATAGTGTGATGTTCTTACTGAGCTAGTGTAACTCATTCCTTATTTAACCATTTTAGATCAATAGGACCAAGTTCTAAAGCCTGAACTGCAAGAGAATTATGAGTAGATGCTAGTTTTCTTTATT